TCTTTGTATATTTCCTATTTTATATTCATTTCCTAGTATTTAATTTACCATTATTTCTTTTGAACAAAACAATTTCAGAAATTTCATGTTTTAAATTGTAGGTCATCTTGTACCCTGTCAAGGACAAAGCTAATCGGCAAAACGTGATATCAAAAGCATCCTAAATGTTACATGTGTTTGCACCATATTGTAGTGAGTAAACTTTTTTGGTATTGCGGTTTCAAATATCCCACCATAATCTGTAGTCTGAGCCTGTCAAGGGCTAATGGCAATGGCAGATACGTTACTAGTTAGTTTCAAGGAAAATCATTTTCAAATAATGTTCTTTTTTTTTTTTTTTTGCCAAATAACCCTGTGTATGTGTCCGCCCCCGCAACCCCCCAACCCCTGGAAAAAGGTTCAGGCTCAGGATTTCTTGTTTTTTTTTGCTTTAACCCCTGAATATGTGAGCAGCATGTATGTACATGATTGTGTTTTTGAGAAAGCAACATTTATGCGTGGTTAGTGAAAAACTAAATTTAAGTCACTTAAATAAGGCCATAAATCACATACAGAACATTTGTTCACAAGACTTTTGAGAACTGGATCTTGTAGCCTAGAGTTTTTGCTTCAAAATGATGTGAAAACGAATGTTTGCTCTCAGTGTCATATTTGAGGCACGTAACTTTCTCTTATTCCCCATGACTCCAGCAAACAATCTATGTTGTTTTAATGTGCCACAGAAAACAATATATTGATTTAAATTTTCTAAGACACTTTTTGTATAGAACGGATTAGAGGTCTGCCGATTGATCAGCCTCTTTTTGGCATTTTTTAATTAATCGACATTGGCCGATTGTGCTGCAAATTAGGCCGATTTATAGGCAGGCGCACCTGCGGGCAGCTAAGCGTTGTTGTGGAACTCCCTCTGAGGCTGCGCGAGACGGAGCAGCTCAGACTGCAGCCGCGGCTTGTTCACGCACAGCTTCAGCTAATGGCAGGGCAAAACAGACCGTTTAGAAAGCGAAATTAAGTTTTACCCTACTAGAATTGATGCCGGAAAGTTATCATATTCATAAGTGCAACAAGTCATTTGCATGTGAAAGTAGTAAAAACACATGCAGTTCAGACGAAACTTTTGGGCTGATTATAACCTGCACGTTAACTTTCCTCATGAAATGTGTGTGTAGTAGGGCTGTCAAAAAAAATTATAATTTCAAATATTCGTCGAATTTAAAATAAAAATCCACATTTGAATGCAAAAACGTTGCATTTGAATTTTAGGTGTGCGTCAGGCAGTATTATCAGTGGCGCACGAAATGCGATGACGCGCAACTGCGGGCAGCTAAGCGTTGTTGTGGAACTCCCTCTGAGGCTGCGCGAGACGGAGCAGCTCAGACTGCAGCCGCGGCTTGTTCACGCACAGCTTCAGCTAATGGCAGGGCAAAACAGACCGTTTAGAAAGCGAAATTAAGTTTTACCCTACTAGAATTGATGCCGGAAAGTTATCATATTCATAAGTGCAACAAGTCATTTGCATGTGAAAGTAGAAACATGTTCAATTCAGACGAAACTTCTGGGCTGATTATAACGTGCACCTGAACTTTCCTCATGAAATGTGTGTGTAGGTCCGAACATAGCATCCACAATGTCATCGCTCGTGGCTAGTGCACTCTTAAGCAGTTATGAGCAGCAGTCTGTGTATTATGTGTGAAATCTTTTATTTTTGTTATCACTATGGACATTTGACTTATAGCAGTGTTCAAGTGTTTCCTATACATTGAGTTATTTGTGGCGGCTCGTCACAATATCAAAACTGACTTTCGATAAGGCTTATACTTCGTTGAATAAAATGAGCGCTTCAAGTTTCAAAATTAAAATGCAGCGTGGGTGTTTTTATATGAATGTATCTTTAAAAAGAACCGACTGTCTTCAGAAAAGCTTCGATGTCATTTTCATTTCGTCTTTCCTGTAATGCCTGATAAAGTAGCGTTTGTGAGCACAGCGCCTATTTGATTACAGCCATTAATCAAATAGGTGCACATATAGTGGTTTCGTATAGTGGGAAACCACTATATCTCCAGCTCCCAAAGCACCTCCTGCTGGCAGAGAATTAATTTGCATTTGCAAGTCTGTGGGAATATCGGCTAAAACAATTGGCATCATATATCAGTCATCGGCTGCCCTGATTTCTAAATATCGGCATCGGCCAGTGAAAAACCCATGTCGGTCGACCTCAAGAACAGCTGTATGTGAGGAGGCGTGAATGGTCATGAATAATGCTGTGATTCATAATGCGGAGATTTACGTGTCTGTGAAGAGAGGTGACAGAGAGCGAGACGGCAGAGAATGCACCGTTTATTTTCTTTATTTTACGAAAGCACATTGTTTTGTTGTTATTATGACTATACAGAAATAAAAGTTGACCCTTTGCAGTTTCAAACGATACCTTATTCTTATCTGTACGATCAAAACTGACAGAGTATTTTTAGTTCTTTTCACGGGGGTTAAAGTTATGAATGAGTTTGCACATTCTGAGTAAATTGAGAAGGCTGTTGTTTGAAATGTCATGCAATGAGAGAGTGTGATTAGGGCTGATTCCTGTCTTAAATAAGAGCTACACTAATTATTCGTGCTGATTTAGAACAATGCCAAGATCACCTCTCCGCTCTTGAGCTTTCTTACCCATCACCGATGTCACTGCGGATTGCTAGCGGCCTGCCACACAAGTCTTTATTAATGGCTCTTTTCCACTGGTATTGACAAAAAAATAAAATAAAACAAAAAATAAAATTTAAGTTTAACCTTAAATGCTTGTTTCTAATAAAAATAGAATTCACCATAACATTTCACATTATATGAGTATATTATGTATGCTCTAATGTAAAGTGTGACCAAAATCACTTATCAATACATTTTTTTGTTAAATTGAACAGAATTATGGTAGACATCATTATGCTGCTGAGTTCAGGGTACTTTATATTCTGTCCAACTACATTCATTTTTTTTACAAAAAAAAAATGTCTAATCTATTAGGTCGTGGCTCATTTGTCGCCCGATTAGATGAAATAAGGCCAGATAGGGCTTATCACGGAAATGCTAATCGCTTATTTAAACATGCAGCTTTGGATTCATGGCCATATTTTCATCAGTAAAAATTTCTCTAAATCTGCGCCAAGAATTCATTTCTAGCATTAGCACAGAACTTTCACCGCAATTAATTGCTTTTATCAGATGGTTTTATATCTGTGCCAAAGCTGAAAAGACAAAGTGTGCAGCCAAAGCCATTGCCCCGTGCCATCGATCATAAGGTGGTATTAACTACTCCCTCCCCCCAATCACAACGAATACAATTAAAGTTCAACTTGTTGATTTTGTTCCCAGGGGCCATAAATCACCTCTCAGTCTACAAACTTTCCATCTGCATTGCTCCTTCACTCACTCCATCTATTTCTACCCCGCTTCCTTTTTTTCTTTCACTCCATTTCTCTCAGGCTCTCTTTTTTTCCCTTTCCACTCAAACCTTTCAGCTTCCTTGGCTAATGCAGTCCTGCTACGTTCTGAATCTACTTCAGACCACCAGACCATAATTATGTTTAGTCAATAAAAGTATGTCATTACAAAATGAGATCTTGGGCTAAAACCTCCAAATATTGATTGATGTTTCGGCTTCTATTTGAAAGCTGGCATGTTATAAAATGTGAATACAGAAATTTCAAACTCAAGGCTATGACAAATAAACATAGACATATATTTTGTATATACTTACAATATACAGGTGATCTGCTTATCACACAAGGAAGTTGTCATTTATCAGTAATAAAAGTAAGATTTTGAATCAAATGTCTAGTTACACAAAAGGTTGTTTTCTTAGTTTGTATGTTGGTTTCAAACATAGCTAAAAACTGTTTTAAATTAAAATGTTGATTTAATTTCTCTTCCAAACTCCAGTATCATCTTTTTTTTTTTTTTTTGCAGTAGCTGTTGGGTAAACAAATAAATACAACAAAACCACACTAGAATATATTCAGGCAAGAGTCATCTACATAATGAAGTCAGATTTTATCCTAAAGGCTGAAACGGGTATTTTTCATAAATGCCAGGTCAAGGCAGGTTGTCATGCATTTTAAATGTTTTAATTTTATACAGTTAATTGCAGTATCGTTTGGCCAAAACAATGTTCTGATAGTTTTGTATGTTAGTTTTGACATTTAGGGTTTTATGAATTTAATGGCTGATTGCACTGTGACAACTTTTTTTTTAATTGTAGCCAAGACAATATAATGTATAATAAACCTAATTTGAGAGATGAATATGGAGTAAAATGTTTGCCAACTACCCTATATAACATATACATATCTCATGAATTAATCATGAAGACAGCTACTATTTTATTTTTAGATTTTATTTATACATTTACTGTATGTTTAGCATATCGGTTTGACATATATTGCTTAGCATATGTTTGCCGTGATATAAAAAAATG